CCTGCTTCCTGAAGCATATCGAATCTGCCAAGCTGTATAATCTGAACCCCCAAGACCGGAACGTTCAACCGCGATCCGAGACCAGCATCATTTATTATTGTCCGCGACATGTATCGCCAATGCGTGTTATTGTGTTTTTACGAGTTGGAGAAAACGTGATGGTTTGACGAACATGCCGTTAATGTGAGTGGCAATGGTGATTACAGAAATCGCATGTTGTAGTGCAACCTGACGTCTCCTTGCAGCCTGGGTTACCTGTCGCATCCTTATTGGGATCGACCTTAATGGGATCGACGTTATTTGCGAACCGAGGTTAACGATACTGGAACCGAGGTCAACGATACTGGAACCGAGGTTAACGATACTGGAACCGAGGTCAACGATACTGGAAGTCATTTGGGTTCGCTTCCCCAGATCGCTTCCCCAGATCATTTCCCTGACGCCATCAAGAATGATTTGGCACGGCCGGCAGCGGTTGTATTTATAAACTATCAAGCGCTAGTTTACTGGGCTTAGTGAGTTCGTGTGTCGTTACCGTGTTCTCTCCCGCTACTTGGCGCCGAAGGTTGTACAGAAGTGGTGGTCGAAGGTCTTGCTCGATGGTCGTGCCTGGGGTCTCATCTTTCGTTCTTGGTTGCTCCCTTGGTTCTTGTCGTCAAAGGTGGTTTACCTTCGTGGTGACGACGAGCCCGTTGGTGGTTGGGTGCCGGTTGAGCTTAGTAGCTTCTGGGTCTGTCGGTCGGTCGGTCGGTTGCGGGTGGTCGGTTTGATTCCGTCACAAAAGAAGGAGAAATAAAATTATAGGAAATTTTCAAAAGATGGTGCGTGGCGTAATTTGCGAGGAGAAACAAGTGCCCCTGTCGCTGCTGCTGGCGGAGGCGGTAGCCGCGCAGGCGGGTGACGTGAAGGCTGCGACCACTTCAGAGGTCGCTGCTGACCCTAAGGCTGATGCAGGCCCCGTGGCGTTGACGCCTGAGCAGGCAGTTAAGGCGGTAGTGGCCATCCGGTTGCAGCACGGCATGAGCAGTGGTAACGCAGCCATAGAGGGCCCCGCGCTGGCTATGGAAAAGGCCTTCAGAGAGGCGGGTGAGAAATTAGTCAAGGGTGAAGCCGTGGACACGCAAGCGCTCAAGAAGGTTGTGGTGGAACCCCGGGATGCACATCTCATCAAGGACATTGCCGACGCCAAGAAGACCGCCGAACGTTTCTTCTGGGAAGGCAGCATGCGCAGTCTCTCCAGAGACACATACCCTTCCTTGATGGCCCTCCTTAACGGCACCATGAGCTACGACGAGGAACAAACCGCCGCTCTTAGCAAACTCCTCAAGGACCCGGAGCTTTCCCGAATACTCTCACCGGAGATGAGAAACTTGTTCCAATACCTTTCCGGTATGAGACAACCTGGTGCTGGCGATGACGACGACGAGGATTTCGTCAGCGATGAACTTAGCGACGAGGATGACAGCCTCGAAGACTCCGCCTAACTTTTCTTTCGTTAACCTTGTAGATAGCTAATCGTAGGGGCAATATGACCCGTGGACAATATACAATCAAACCGCCTTTATCCGGCTGTACGACGAGGTTTATCTACGGGGTTTATGTATCATGCTTTATAAGTATCATGCTTTATAAGTCTGCTCTGTAACTAACCAAGTAACTGGTTGTTAGTAGTTAGTTAGGTTATACTCTGTTATACGGGTGCATGGCGTTACACTGTGTCGTTACACTGCACCGCGTCAGTATCGTGTCACATACACTGTATCATCTTTATCACGCTGGGCCCTTCCAGGTTCTTGATTGCTGCGCTGGGCTGGTTCAGCAGTTGTGTGGTAGACAACTGTTTGCGGCCATTACAGTATACTGCGAAGCAGTTGTCTCAATGTGAACTGCTTACGTGTCAGGTTTCCATCCGCCTTGGAGTACTCGACTCTAAAGCGTAGCTGAAAATGGCTGCCAATAACGGGAGCATTTTTGTAGCTAACCCGCTCCCCGTTCAACGTCATCGCAACTGAACTATTGGCGGAGTCAATCACTGAACATAGCTCCGTATCTCGATCGGCAACACAAAGAGCGAACCTACCGTTTGAGATTCTGCAATATGGGAGTTATGTTCCGCTACGCACGTGTGCCTTAATCGTCTTAAGAAGTTTGAAGTGCCCGCATCAACAAGTTAAAGCTCTTGGTGGTGGTAGACCTTGGAGTTACTAAGGTCTGCCACCTGGGCTAATACACCTGGGTCACCCCATGTGTCATCTTACATAACGGCCTCCACTTGGTTGGTAGAGCACTGGTCATCCAGAGGAAGGTCCACTTTGGAGTCATCATCCAAAACCACACCTTCGCTCTCAGTCACTCTCACCTGAGGCCTGCAAGACGTGTCACGGCAAAGCCGAGGCGGCAAGTATGCCACGGCCCGTGGTGCAGTGGTGTGCTACGTCGGTAGTGTTCATTGTTACGCATTCCGGAGGTTGAAGGTTCGGTACGAGCAATGGTCGGCTTCTGTTTGTGCGTCGACTCGGGTCTGGGTAGGTTGCTGGGTTGTAGTTGGGGTTGTAGTATCAGTGCTGGGAATGAGTAGTAAGTGCTGGCTGTTGAGTGCAGAGTCCGAAAGGTCATTTTCGTATTCGCCAAGCACTTTTACTCGGACTAAACCTCGACTAGGAATATGTGGCAGTTCCGGCAACCCCTCTCGAAGGTAGCTGTCCAGCTGCACGCGTTCCCGAAGGGGCAAGCCGATGACCAACGTGGCAGCGAAACCAATTAATTTAAGAAGGTGCATTGTTATGGAAACGTTTCCCCCACCAGAAACGTTTCCCCGAGCGGAAACATTTCCCCGAGTGGAAACATTTCCCCGAGTGGAAACATTTCCTGAAGCAAAAACGTTTCACGGAGATGCGGAGTCACAAACCACGGCCGCCTCGCCTCCTGCTTTGCCTCCCAGGTCAATGGAACTGTGGCCGCTCGACAGAAGAACCACTAAATACCCTTCGCTTCCGAACCCGTCACCCGGACTTCTTCCGGACGTGTGCTTTTCAGTGCAGCGTCCCATCCTTTTTCAGGGAGCTACCGACTTGTCCCGCGCTTCTTCCAATACCCACTTCAGAGTCCCACACATTGCGGCCTCACACCCTGAAGCCACACACTCTAGCGCCGTACACCTTGGAGCCGGACTCTCTGGAGCTCAGGACACCTTCCCGACGCTACCCCCGTTCCCGGCTGCTTTGTTGCGTGGAGGGACTTACCGCGCATCACCCAGAGCCGCTGCTGTGACCACGGTCGCATACCCGCTTGTGACTCCTCAAAATGCGCCTCAAAAACAGTACCAGAATGATGCACACGGCGTGAGTGGTGAAATTGAACGTGGAACGGGTTCCCACGGAACGGGCTCGCACGACTCTGAGTTGTTCGGGGTGGGTCTGAATGAAACCGGTTCGCAGGAGGCCGGCTCGCACTATTCCCGTTCGCACGACCCAAGTTCCCGCGAAACGGGTCTGTACGACTCCGGTTCTCGCGAAACGGGTTCTGCCGACTTGGTTGGACACGATCCGCAGCTATACGGCCTGGAGTCGGGTCCAGTCCCGTTACGAAGAAATCCAGGGTACATGTACCTGACCACTCCGGAGCGGTCGACTCTAGAGCGTGCTGTTCCAGGACCGGTTGGGTCGTCTTTGTTGGGTGAGTGTCAGGCGCCGTGTTGCGTGCCCGAAGGTGCCACGTCTCCCCCGAATGGGGTTTCTCCGAATGGGGTGGCGAATAATGGCCGACGGGTGCCTCCGATGCCGGCGTTTATGTGTGACCCGGTGGCGGATAAGGAGATTGAGCGACTGAGTGCTCAAGCGGAGAACGCGTACGCGTTGCCAGTAGTGAAGGCGTTGCGAGCGAGTGAGGTCACGGGTCGGAGTCTGGAGGACTTGGACGCGTTGTATCGACGTATGTTCCGCGAGCTGGCCCAAGAGGATGTTCAGTGGTACCGTCTGATGAGTCCGTATGACCTGGTGATCCGCGAACAGGATCGCTGTCAAGGGCTTTGGACCTTTGCGGCCGACAGCTGCACAATCCTTATCGACAAGCTAGCAACCACACTTCGACTCAAAGTCAGCACTATGGAACTAGACAGCCTCTACGACGAACGGCAATTACTACAGAAGCAAGACGTGCGCAACCACGCCTGGGCGGGGCACGCCGAACGAACCCTCGCACTCCAATACAAGTGCCGCAAACTCGTCTGGAAAGCGCTTTACGCGCAACGGTACCACCGATTTGAACTCGCCCGTAAAAGACGAAACGAGCGCGTTTGGACTATGTGGTACACACGCAGGTACCTTCAGTAGGTCCGGGCGGGGATACTCCCCCCCGGGGATACTCCCCCCCCCCCCCCTTCGACCTGGGAGTTTTTGCGCCGAGGTGGGGAGTCTTTGCACCGGGGGGGGGATGCAGTGATCCAGGACGGGTGGTGGAAATGCAGGGTGAACTCGGGAGGGGTGGAGACCCCCGTTTTTGTTAACGGGTTTTGTGGCAATGCGGGGTTCAGTTATGGGCGATGTGAGTCCGTGTCAAACGTTGCTAAAGGTTTCCGCGAGCAAGAGAACACGACGTCTGATGCTAACGGAGCTACAAACGAGCGTAATTCCAGGTAGACTCACTGGGGCAGCCTAGTGACAGCCTATTGTCAGACTTATTCCATATATCTCTTCTGCCGCCGGAGATGATCCTCATGGAAGTACCACGACAACTGTCGTTATTCCCCGAGACCAGAAGAGTTTTGAAACACCAAGACGTCCCTAAAAGTCTTCATGACCAGGTCCTCAGCCTCGTTCCCAAAGATACCCTCGCTTGTAAAGACCTTCCCCACCGAGCATCTCTAACAGGCCTGTCCCCTAATCCCCTACCAGGCCTGCCACCAAGTCCCCTACCCGATAGTACACCAGCAGTGTAACATACACCGTGTGTACCAAGCACAGAGCGGCGCGTCAGCATGAGTGCTACACATCTGTGTGTGCACGAAAGATGACTTCTTGTTATTCTAGCTAGAAATCCGACACCTGGTCCGAAGTCGGTAAATAGCCGCATAACAGTGGAGAATTTGGTGAACATACTCTTTGCAGAATGTCTGTTATTTCTTTGGGGGCTGTGGGATCTAGGTGACTTGCCTGAACCGTTTGAGACGGTTGCGAGATTAGGGAGAGTCCATGTAAGGAACAGAAGGCTAATATTGTATGGGAAGACGTTTCCTTGGCTACAAGGATCTGTGTGGCACACGGTTACCTTAGCGGATGGGCAGTCGTACCCTCCCGGTTTGGGAGACGTCTGGAGTGCTGAAGGTGATGGGGTAATGGGTGTGGTTAGTTTGTTGCACTTAGCTGTGGAGTTGAAGCGCGACGTTTGGATGGATGCCGCATCACAATGTTGTTTACGAAGTGTTAATATCTGCAGTCATGAGGATGAGGCCGTCGAGTGCGGTATGGACAGTGACTTCGGTCCAAATCCCGATTCTGGCTCACGAGCGGACTCAAAAAGGGGCCGCTCTACTTCGAGAGGCCGCTCCACTTCAAGGAGGTGTTCGGGAGGACAGAGGTGCGAGCTGCGGAGTATACGGAGATACTATGCTGAGGATGAGCCACCAAATAGCCCGGCCGATGACCAACTTGAAATAGCCCTAACAATGCATGATCGTGGAGACCTGTATGATCGTGGAGACCTGTATGATCGTGGAGACCTGTATGATCGTGGAGACCTGCATGATCGTGGAGACCTGTATGATCATGGAGTTGTGGGGGCACACGTAGTTGAAAAGCCGAATTCATATGTACGGGTAGTAGTTAGTTGTTTAGACCACGTTTGCTGGCAGATAGTTCTACCTTCTCATGGGCTTATGCATGTTCCGGAGGTGATCATAAGACCAAGAGAAGAATCGGACTCGTTTTGTTACCTTTACAACTTTATGTTGGATGCCGATAGGAATTACAAAGTTGGCAACCCCAAGTCGTTCTGCTTGGGTGGCCTAACCGTGAAGGAAGATTCGTTGATTTACCCGCTAGCCATCGAAAGATTGCACAGATTAAACCACCGCAGAATATCTGCAGTTATTGCACTGGAAATGATTTCGTGTTATGGACAAGGCAAATGTGATACTACTGCTTCCATGACTGCTGCTTCCACGACGGCTGGTGAGAAATTTACTAGTAATCGCAATGGTCAGCAGTTTAATAGTTTCGAACAATTCATGGAGTGCTGGAGTCTTTATATGTCCCTAGATCCTGAAGAAGTGCTGGCAATGTGTAGATCGCATACTTTATATGGTGTTAGTAATCTGAACGCTATCAGTTTGAATTATATCAGGCACATAAGTCATCAGGGGGATTATTATGATGAGTTGAATACGATAAAAGGGAAGCCGATGGTAATATCCAGCGGTGAACACATGACTAAAAAGACTGAACGTATATTGTATGCTGGTGAACGACTGGAGACAATTGATGAAGAAATAATAAATTACGGCCTGAATGGGATGAATTCAGCTGACTGTTATTTGCGCAAATTATGCAAACTCACGTGTGCTATAATATACAAATGTTTATTATGCGCTAAATGTATCAGCATTCACACCGGACAGTATCAAACGTTTGTTTCCAAGTTTACGAAAGCGCCCGATGCAGTTTACAACTTTATTAGAAACAAAGTTAACATAAAAACAAGCTCGCAGTTATTTGTCATCACTAACAATCCGGCTAGTTATCATGACCTATTTGGATTAATAATTACGCTATTCTGTAAGCCGCCATCTATTACACTGCATCATTGGCTTTTAAGCAATTGTCATGACGTGATTGTTAAGAATGATTCGTTGGAAATGACCGGTACAATACGGTTTTATATATCGTTATTTCTGAACTATTTATTGGACCATTATGACTATGAATGCTTGGTTCTAATTTGTAAGCTATTATGGATCTATAAAATAGATAAGGAAACTAGGTATATCCTTATGGCTTTAATACGGAAGCTGATATCTCCTGAGTCTGTAAACAAGAAATCACATGGGGATAATAGTACTTTGGATAATAGTACTTTGGACAATAGCACTTTAGACAATAGCACTTTAGTAGACAATAGTTCTTCTGGCAAAGATTCATTTGG